TTGAAGTGTTGAACGATATAGCCTCCCTGATGTGGAAATATGAATGTTTTTCTCATTTATTAATGTCCTATAGTGAAGGCTTAACCTTTTACTTAAAATAATTGGCTTGGAAATCGAATTATAACATTCATCCTCCCCTTACATTCCCTGCAATTTGTGAATTTGCTGGTTATTCTTCTTGGTTGGGAGTATGAGTTACCATTTGCCTTTATCCGATACGTGTACACAGATGCGGACACACATACTCATGTGCACAACACAAAAAAGACTTTTAGGGAGTAAATTTAATTGCAGTTACAAGCAGGAAGGGTACAGTAGATAGGAGTGAGAGTTTATAATGCTGATCATGAAATAAAAAACATCAAAGCAAGTAATGAGTCTAAACCTGATACTGATGGGACTGTATTTCTATAGCATTTAAAGCAAATAAAGTCACATAATTAAAGATTTAACATAAAATTAGAATGTTAAATTTGGAAGATTCTTAGTACATCTCCAAGTGATTAGATTATCACAAAATTTCCCTGGAAAGGTAGAAATTAAATCAACAACATTGAAAAAAAACCCAAAACCAACCAAAAAACCAAAAACCAGAAAAATCTGACAGTCCTAAATGAAAGAGTAATGTAAGTATAGTTTCAGCAGCTATTAGGAAAGAAGCAAATGTTCTTCTAATCAGTTTTCTGCTGCAAAAATAAGTCAAATGGGTGATGGGTATTAGACAGGGCACGTATTGAATGGAGCAATACGCAAACAATGAATCATGGAACACTACATCAAAAACTAATGATGTAATGTATGGTGATTAACATAACATAATAAAAAAATAAAAAAGAAAAAAAGAAAAAAATAAGTCAAATGATTTTCATGGGACACTTATGGGTATTTCTACCTTAATTATTTTATTTCTACCCGAAGGTATTTAAAACACAGCCAATCACTGTAGTTAGATTTTTAAAGCTATTCTTGTACTTATGAACAGAGAATTAAGAATGCACTAAAACTGATTTTTATTTTGTTCTTTTGGTGGGTACTTTTCTTTTTTAAGATTTATTTATTTTAGAGAAAGAGAGAGAGAGTGGGGTGGGTGGGGTGGGGGTGGGGTGGCGGTGGGGAGGGGCAGAGAGAGAGGGTGAGGGAGAGAGAGTCTTAAGCAGATTCTGCATTGAGCATGGAGCTCTACATGGGGCTAGATCTCACAATGCTCAGATCATAACCTGAGCCAAAACGAGAGTCAGACGCTTAACTGACTATACCACCCAGACATACCTTGGTGGGTACTTTTATCATTATCAATATTGTAGGGTATCATAAGCATTGGCTAGAATTGTTTCCTTTGTAAATAATGGTAAAGCCACTGGGAAGAAATTTATGACATATTCTGCACTAAGATTTACACGTTAATAAACTGGACAGTGTTCAAATTTATCTCATCTAACCAGAATCCTCTTGGTAGGTACTCAGTGGTAAAATAAATTATTAAAAATTAATAATAATTATTAATTGCCATACTTTTTTGCTTGAGGTTATCAGTAGCAGTAGGAACTGCTCTGCAAACTTGGTAATACCTTGTACAAGGCCTGAGTAACCTTCTGAGTAAAGAAAATTCACGTACTAATGCACTGTTAACTAGTCTTTAGCTCTCTCAACAAGCCTTTGGAGAGGGCTATAATTCAAGCGAGAGGTTTATCCAGCTAGCATTTGCACAGGGAACAATTTGCCTGACAACCTCTCTCAATATATTCACATAACACTAAAATATCAATACAAAAGTAAGAGTAGTATTAATGATGTTATTAATGATAGTAGCAGACAGGCAAAACAAAGCTATTAATAAAAGAGCTTCTGCGTATGAAGCATGGATTAGGGAATAAAAGGAACAATTATTGGCATCTAAATTCTTTAAGTCTAGACACACATGGGCCTGTAAAACCTATGTCTTAAAAGTTTCTTTCTGCTTGATTTCCACTGCTGAGAATGCTGATATTAAGAAATGAGATTTCTATTAATCTCCCTCATCCCTATACTATACTTTGGGTAGTTTTGTGACCAAAAATCTTCATTAGGTTATTCAAATAACCTTGTTTTTCAAAGGTAATAATGCACTTCACCAAAAAAAAAAAAAAAAAATCTTTGAGGTATTTTTGAAAGATTATAATTTCAAATGCATTTGTACTTTTCAAATCACAATTTTGTATAGTTTTCATTTCTTCATGAAAATACTTTGAATAAACTTATACCCACTGAGAATGTGTTACTATTTTCAAATATCAAGCAAAATACCATGTGAAATTAGAGGCTTACTCAATACTATTTAATGATGCTAAATGTATTTGTAATTACAGCAACAGCCAGCCTCCTCAACCTCTGCTCTCTTCCCCTCCACCAGCAGCCCCCACTATTAAAGACAGCCCCCTACCTTGCACTTTTCTCTTCACTTTACACAGAACAACAGTTATTGAAGCCAAATGGCTTCCTTAAAATGAGCCACTCATTACAAAGATTCAGGATGTGAATTTCTCTAAAAAGCTTTGCTCTAAATCAAAGTGACTGCACATTCCCTTCAGGTCAGAAAACAACAAATTATGGGTACTTAATATAGAATTGCTGGGCCCATATATTATATATGAGATTATTTCATATTTGGACGTCTTCTCTCATTAGTTGGGATGAATTAAAGCCTTGAATTTGAGACTAGCCTAAAGCTTTGTAAGCCAGAAGGCACACATTTTTGCCTTTCTTTCATTTTAAAACCCAACAACCCAGAACCATCAAAGGCATCACCCTTGTAGCAGTTCTGGTGGGCATAAAAATTTTGTTCTCTGATTTCCAAGTCTAAGGGTACAGATCGATTTTTGTTTATAATAAATAAACCTATGGAATTAAATGACTCGAAAAGCCTCCTCAAGAGTGTGAACTTGCCCATAAAGATGTCACAAACTTTAAATTCTATCAGCTTAAGGAAAATACACTGGGTTGATATTAGATGCAGATGTACTCCAGGCCAGAGGAATTGGCCTCAAGATCTAAGACCGAGTGACCGTTTTCTAGTTCTGATAACAATGCTTGTGACAAGCTACTTCTTGCAGGACTGAAGACAGATTGTATTACAGCACATGGAGCTAAAAGGAAAATGCTTCAAGAGTCTGTATGGGTGGAAAAGCCTATTCTTCTGTCCTAACTCAAGCCTAGTTGGTCTGTGGGTGGTGGTAGATCAGTCCCTGAGCCCTGGCATTAAACCTGGGGCCTCAGAGCCTCCCTGACCGAAGTCATTGCAGTCATCCACAAGGGAAACAGTGACTGAACAGGGATTCCTAGGCTGCTGGTCCCCCCAGCACTGGGAAAAGTGTGGGCCCAAGCTCACATCTTCAACGTTAGTCCCAGCATTTGGATTTTGAGAGACTTCTAGTCCTGCTTTGATGAGCCTTGCTTCAAAGAAAACATTTTATCATAGAGTTCTATTGGCATCCCTTCTTTTTCAATGAGTGATTACTGCTAATGCCCATTAAGTGAGTAACTCATGTGCTGTATAAGTATTTGTTCTTCAGTGGGGAACAATATCATTCGGAAGACTTTATGCAGAGATATTTGTCAAGTTGTATAATTGACTAGAATGTCACTTAATTGGAAACATGTTTGTTTGATCTATGGAAGGTCCCCCTTTAACAAATGGCTAACCGTAGCCATCGGATGAGTCCTGGAATCTCAGTGGAGAACTGAAATCTCCTGGATGCAACCAGAATGCAACACACTCTCTGTGCGTTCTGCTGTGTTGCCACACAGGCTAAGAACAAAATTAATCAGAGGTGTTCAGTCAGACAGTGAGTTTCTGCTGAAATAATGATAGCTTTTGTGAGGGAGTAAGGACGGAAAGCAAAGAGTAACTAATGGCAAATTAGAAGAAGGGGCCAAGAATTTGTCCATTTACTACGATTTTTAGATCGAAGGACAGTTTTTATGAGATGTTCTAGAAAAGATATTATTTTTAAGACAGGCCTTTAAAAGCAAAGAATAATTAGTTACTACTAATAAAAATAAAATAATTAATGTCATGCAATATGCAGCGACTGGACTTGTGGAGAGAAAGTAGCATAGAGAGTGAAATGAATCTCTTTTGAACCGGCAGAAATTTATTTGCTTTATCTTTCAGGTTATGAGTGTTTCTTAAAGTTTTAGAATACAAAATTCAAATCTAAGAAATTCTCTAAAAGATTAAATGATTTTTCACTCATTTTGGAAAAGAAATGTTCAGGATGCCAAATATAATGTGAAGGCATGTTAATTACATGTTACCTCTTCATTCTTTCATTCCTTGACGCCACTGGACATAAACGAGCAGTAAAAATGAAATAATTAAAGTATCAGTATTAAAACCATTTATGCAGATCTAGTTGATCTCTTTGGGCCTGAATACACGGCAACATAAGTTGGCCAGTTTTTATAGAAAATCTATGCCAAGTATATAAATAAAACAGAGACAACTTAAGATTAGATATAAACTCTGGATAATAAACTTTTGATATTATAGCAGCCTACTTAATAAAACAAATGCAGTGTCTTCAAGAATGGGGTTTATATATGCAGCCAAGGAACAGAGACAGGGAAACATAATAGAGATAGGAAACTAAAAATGAGAACTCTAATCTTTAATAGTGAATATGAGCAAGATCAGGATGGGAGCCTATTTGTTATCATGTCCATATCCTGAGCTAACTAAATTTTCTAAAATGGAAAGCCTCAAAATGCTTGGGAAGTTTTTCTCAGATAACGCAAAACACCCTGAGAGTCCTCCCACTTCCCCATATCCAAACTTTAAAAGACAACGACCGTGGGGCTTGACTGGAAACAAGACAGACGTGTATTTAAAAGCAGAAGGCATATCTGTAAATTCCTGATGGATGTCCAAATAGTAACAAAGAAAGAAAATATTACCTACCTACAACAGGAATTTCATTTACCAAGGGTTGAACGGGTAAGGTATCTTTAAGAGACCAACTTACGTTAATAAGTTCAACCTCCCAGATTTTTTTCAACAGGTCCATCGATGTGTAGCCATTAATTAGAAAGGCTTTGGTGTAGTCACCTAGTTCAATGGAATCCAGCCACTCAGCAACAGAAGTGGGATGATAGCCATCGTGGCCAATGGGTCTCATCTGTAATAAAGAACACCACGTAGGATCAGGATTACTTCGAGTTCCGACAAACAGAATGGATCTTGCCACTTGGAAACTTATCCGATTTGAAGCAACAGATCTTTGTGGATAAGAAAATAAGAAAACCAAAATACTTTACGCACAATTCTAAGTCGCTAATAATTTTCACGCTGAATTAGTTTTCGAAAGTGCACCCAGAAATTTCCAACCTAGCTGCTGCACCAACTCCATATTTGAGAAAACGAAATGTGTCAAACTTCTGTTCATAGACGTTATTGACATTCTGTTGGATGAAACTTAAAATCATGGCAGTTGAGCAGTATTAAATTCAATGCTGAAGGCACAAGGAACTGCACTTCCAAAATGTAGATGATAATTCTCATATGTGCAACATCAAAGCATGTGAAAATACTGCACGGCTCAAACATCCAAAGGAATGCATGCTTATGCAAGACATGTAGGTAGTGCAAACATGCTGGAGAAACATACTGCCGTGTTAAGCCAGTAAAGGAGAGGCTTTTTGGTGTTTAAAGACCATGTGTTCTGCATAGACTCTACAGTATGTTAGACATGAATAGAGAACTTGCTGGCAGACAGGTTCCTATTTTTTGTCAGCTATATACAGATTTTTTTTTTCCTTTGGGAGAACAAAGAAGTGTGACAGCAGCATAACGTTTCTGAGTTTAAATTGGAGTGTGAAAGTAATTTAAGCAAGAGAAACTTCTGGGTTTAAAATTTTGTATGATTATTCTAGTCTTCTTAGCTTTTATTTGAAATTTTAGTTGAATTTCTGGTTCTTGGCTTTTGAAGTAAGTCACTTTGAGGACTTGTGTTGCTCTGCATGCCACACCGCGGATCTGATACTTCCGCTGTTACGGACAACTGGCACCACACCAACCTGATGTTGCAATTCGGGATGGGAAAAGCAGAACTGGGCAAAATACATAGGTTTCCCTCTTCCTTCAGATTCAAGGAGATAAATATTAATGGAAATCTAGATGGCTCTGATTTCTGTGGAGAAAAGATTTGTCTGGCTGTCAGGGATTCAGATTTTAATCCTAAACTACACAGCGTTCTCATTTTGGAGGTTCTCCTTACTCTTGCATTTGTTTGCTTGTTTGTTTGTTTTGGATTCAAGGTGTTCATTAGGGATCAACACCTATGCAAGGAGGGTCGGACAGAAGAGGTGTTGGACTGTGATGGGTCCTGACGAAGCCTCTGTGAACCCAGTGGGGAGCTCTGGCACAGGTCATGCTCCTAGAGGTCTCCTGCTGGCAGCATGACTGGCCCTTTGTGCCCCACACTCTCCGTCACTGGATGCGGCTGCCATGGGAAAAGCAGGACAGAGTGGGGCCACTCTCCGCAGCAGAGGCAGACTCTGCAGGTGCTGACAGCTGAAGGTTGTCTGCTGACTACTCTCCTTCCTCGAAGAGAGAGACGGGAGGAGCATGTCCATGTCTCCCAGAAGACCCTGGACCCAGATTCACCCAAGGTTAACATTTGGCCACACTGGGTTTCTACCTTTTTCTCTATACCCACTTCCTCATTCACATGCACACAACACATGTTTTATTTTAGGTGAACCACTGGGAAGACAGTTTTTCCCCCTGAACTTTTAGCACACATGATGGAACTTTAGCCTTGGTGTTTTAGCATGCATCTTCTAAGAGCAATGACCTCCTACATAACCACAGAAGCAGCACACTCAATAAATCTAACATTGATCCAATTATATTACCTAATATACAGTCCATATGTAAAGTCCCCACATGTCCCCAAAATAGAATTTGTAGCTGTTTTTTTTTTCCTCCCAGACAGGCTTAATCAAAGCTCAAGGTGATTATATTTTTAAGTATTTCTTCTGCCCTTTTATCTCCCTTTTCTTCTTCTGGGATTATATTTACTTCTTCATTTTTAAATTACCTTTCCTCCTCTCCTCTTTCCTATTGTTCCACTCCCCAATCTATTTTACACTTTGAGGTTTAAATGTCTTCTGTTGGGAGTTACAGTATAATTCATCATTTGCATCAGAGTCTGAACAGCATCAAACTTTTATATGTCACTTGTACTTGGACTGACCTCTTTTAACTACTCACTGAACATTTTGTTCAGTAACAGTTAACACAATATTTATTCTGCAATAGCTACAAATGTAAACGACAACTCAGAGTTTGTAAAATGAGGTTTAGTGGCAGTTGCAAATAACTGAATGTTGTTTGCATAAAATTGGCGATTAGGATCCAAAGCAGAGGCACAAAGGTACTAAGTACCGACATATACTGTAGAGTTATAAAAATATTGGGGCTAGGGACATTCTCCAGGACTTATGAAGAGATGGTTGAAACAATGCTACTATCCTGACTAATCCCTGCAGCCCTGGAAACTCCCTGACTGCCTCAGCTGACTGAAAGAAATAATGGGAGAAAGGGCAAGAAGGTAGGAAGAGAAGCCCACTGGAGTTGAAATTAACAGCTTGGCAAGGTTTTACTGTTAGCCCTCCAGAACCTGACCACCCCAGCGGCAGATCCTGGGGATGAGCTTAGGGAGCCTTGAAACAATCTGGGGTAGAGTCAGATGTCCCCCACCAGAGAATTCTGCACTGGAGTCCCCATAGGTCACCCAAAGTGCGCACGTACGCACACACACAGAGCAGTCCCTGGCCACCTGCCATACAGATGTTGGCTGATGGTCACAGTTAGCCAGTGATGAGCAGGGATGGGGACACCAACCAGAACTCTGCAAAGCAAACCCAATTAGTAGAAAAAAAGTTTGTTTTTCCTTCCAACCCCTCCTTCTTCCTCCAGTGGCAGGAAATTTGGAATCAGAAAAGAGAGGTGCCAGTCCCTTGGGGGAAGCCTAAACTTGGGGAGCAGTGGTGGGGGAGGGATGAAGTGAATAAAATTAGAGGCTTACATGGATTGGAAGTGAGTTTTCAATATTTTACATGACTGGAAAGTTATTGGCTATGTGTGAATGACATTAAAAATACTAAAGAGAGAAGCAGTTGAGCTTGGTTGAAGGCAGGGTCAGAAAAAAGGCACATCAGTATCTGACTGAATGCAGACTCTCAGTAATGTGGTTCCTCCTGTGAGGCAAGTTCTTCCTGAGCAACCCTGAGGAGGTGAGAGGGAGGAACATATTTGGTGGGAGGATGAGAGATGGGGACAAGGTAGACAGCAAGAGCAGAGAGAACCTGGAAATGAACACACTGACATGTGCCGGGGAGGGTTCACTCAATAAATATTTAGTCAGTGCCTGTTCTGAATGTTGTGGAGCAGTACAGAACAAAACAGTCTGAGTCTCTTCCTCAAGGAAATTATAACTCTTAATTAAAAACTATGCAAACAGATGACCAATAAATTATGAAGGCTCCACATACCTGAGGAGAAGAAAGCATTAGAGCCAAATGAAGTTACAAAATTAACTTGACACTTATTTAATGGTACGCAGAATGGTTACTGTGCTGCACAATAATTTCTTTTGAAGCAATTCTTCCATCTGTTCCTTCATTTCTGTTCTTACTGCCACTGCCCTCTTTGGGTTCTTGTCAGTGCTCACGAAAACTAACGTACTAGCCTTCCACTTGGCCTCCCTCCTTTGGTCCAGCTTCTATGACGCTGCTGCCTCAGTATTCCCAAAAGCCAGGCTTTTAAGTCAACACTGGCACAAAAACCTATAGTGACTCCTTCTTGATAAAAGTGAAAAAAAAAAAAAGTGAAAATGTCCTATTCCAGAATTCTAGGGCAATTGAGATCAGGTATAAACTTATCTTTTCAACTTAACCCTCTACTACTCTGCCATGTGCACCCTAGTACATATGATTAGACGCATGTGCATGCCTAAACAGTGCGTTAAGCTGCTAGCCATGCCATGAACATGAATTGTGTGTGCAAGACACTATTGTATCTTTGCTCATATTATTTTCCATGCTTCTAAAGCTTTTGCCTTTATTTCTGTAGTGTTTTTCCAGGATTAGCTTCTCTTCTTGAGCTTTAAGATACAAATTTCCAAACATTTTAGGATACCTCACAAAGATGGCCCATACAGCTATCACACAATATGAGTCAAAACTTTATCTCCTTCATAAAGAAGATGTGGTATATATATACACAATGGAATATTATGCAGCCATCAAAAGGAATGAAATCTTGCCATTTGCAACGATGTGGATAGAACTGGAGAGTGTTATGCTGAGCGAAATTAGTCAGTCAGAGAAAGACATGTATCATATGA